TAGATTAAGGTATTTAAATGTATTTTTCTGTTTACATTCAGGTATTTTTAGTAGAGTACGCTGGTCCTCTTCTTGTTTACATGCTTCTATACATCCGACCTGCTATTGTTTATGGACCTGAGGCAGCAAGCAAACCCTATGCCACTGTAGTACAGTAAGTTTAAAAATTGAATAAGTTTGCTTTGTTATTGATGCAGTTAATCACAGCCATCTCCTTGTTCGTTTGTTCCTTTCCATCCATCCATCCGTTCCTTTGTTCACTCCTTCATTGATTCCTTCATTCATTTGATCCTTCCTTTGTTCGTTCCTTCCTTCATTTGTGCTAGTTTGTTTTGCTCGTTCCTTTGTTCCTTTGTTCTTTTGTTTGTTCCTTCATTCGTTCCTTGTGTTCTTCGTTCCTTACTTCCCTCATTCCTTCATCCCTTCATCATTCCTTCATTTGTTTGTTTGTTCATTCCTTCCTTCCTTCCTTCCTTCCTTCAGTCACTCAGTCAAATTTTATTATTGAACATTGCAATTTAATTTTTTCTTTAATTTGTCACTCTTGCAGTATAGCCGCAGCTTGTTGGTCTGGACATTATGCAAAACGATTGTTGGAAACGCTTTTTGTTCATCGTTTTTCCAAGGCAACCATGCCGTTCTCCAACCTTTTCAAGGTAAGAACTATCCACAGCCATCAGCATCTCAATATCTAGACTGTGAGCAGGATCATCCACTGAGAAGCACAAGATGCAAGAAAACATACTGTAGCTACCATATGTACCAGTTTGTGTGTGGGTGATGAACTGACATAATGGTCAGTGGTCATTAGACTCCAGATTGAGAGTCTGAGTTTGAGCCCAGCTGGCTGTATATAATATATCTTATAACGAAGCATGATGGCTGTACTGGGAGAGTATCGGCCTTAGGTATTGACAGTATTGATCTAGCATAGCAAGGTCTGTACAGAAGAGACCAAGGGCCGATATTCTCTCAGTATGGTCCCAAGAAAGCTTTTCTGACTTTAAATAAAGTCAGACAGTTTTGACATGGTTTTACCTTTAAAAAATGGTAACACAGATGTCTATTTCATTAATGCTTTCTTTTTCTAATGTTATATTTTTTTCTTTTCTTTCTTATGAAATTTCTGATGAAGAATTCTGGCTATTATTGGTAAGGATCCATATTTTGTACACTTATCTAGAAGATGCTTTATGATTTGTTCCAGTTTGTAGAGCCCCTGATGTACATGTATTCTATCAATGCAATGAAGTTTAAGCATGGCAGTTCGTGAGAAAGTCATGTGCAGATGATGAGTCCGGACAAATTATTATTGAGATGTTGGTCTGATCTGTTGAACCCCATTATAATATTATGGACTCCAGATCTGGTCTGGGTAAGTAAGTAGCTTTATTTAACCACATATCACAAATTGAGCACGGGAGCTCGTTTAAATGTAAATGTGCATTACAAGTAAGTAGGGTAGGGTAGCTTGGGTAGCTTGGGTCGTTCTGTTGTTTTCTTGGGCATGACACTGACCTCTGGCAATGTCACTCATCACCCTGCAGGCTACGAGTATTATGGGTACTGGCAAACTGTAAGGACAACCTACAAAATGCTGGGGGTAATATGCAATGGACTGGCATCCCATCCAGGGGGAGTAGCAATACTCCTAGTCGGCTTCATCCTACAGAATCTGGGATAAGCTTGTTTGGCCCAAGCATAGTTCTAAGTAGAGTGTGGCTTTAACTTTTTACCTTAAATTTGGCAAACTACGTTAGTAATAATTATTGTGACTTTTTCCTAGGGGTTACGGTGTCCTGGTTGGATATTTTGTGAATCATCCATTGTATACAGCACCAAGTAAGTTTCAAGTCTTTACTGATTGTTTTATTTGGAGTACTTATTATATAATAAGTGTTCTATTCTTCATTTAATGAATGATTGTTATTGTACTAAGACAACAATAACTTTCAGAGAATGTCATTATGTTTCGAGAAAGCTGGCATTTGATTCCCAAAGTAGGCATATCGTAAGCTGAATGATTTTCCGTAAGCATATTACTTAGGACAAGACATCATAGACCGCCTTAATTTGTTTCTGTCCTAAATTAGCCTGCGTACCAGGCGGCGCTGGTGTAATATTGAGCGTGAGTTGGAAAGGTGAGTATGAGGGAAGAGACGTGCGAGACGAGAAAAAACTTGCACTTTTCTCCACTCCAACGCCTGCTACACAGGCTAGTCCTAAATAGATACATGACTTTTGTAGTTTAAAATCTTAGTTTGAAGCAGTGATTTATAACTTTTGAATGGCCAGCATATTCCATGAGCAATGCTCAAAAATAACATTTTCAGCAAGTTTATACCATTGTTTGTTTTTAAACTAGACTAGTTTTGTGCCATTAGACTGTGGAGAAAATAGCTCCTCTATGACTACAAATACATTTTACAGTCAAAGCTCTCTGAGTGGACACTCTGGTAAGTGGACAGCTCTACTTACGGCCGTCTTGACAAAACCCCATTTGAAGTCTAGCTCATACAAACTCTGTGTTACACATTCCCAGGTAAGTGGACAGCTCCAGTAGCAGACACTTTTTCTGCTTCCAGAGGGTGTCTGCTTTATGAGAGCTTCGACTGTATAATAAAATTAATGTCTTTTGAACTGCAACTGGAAATCACTAATACTGTATATATGTATCTAGTTTGATTTGAAAGCCCTGAGACACAATCATCTTTTTCTGTTTTTGTTAGTGTATGGGGATGCCCAAGTTTATACTGGTCTAGCTATGTTCTTGGTAAGTTGCATTTAGCACACTCGATACCATCTTTTGCTGATCAGTATATTTTTTAGCTTTATTTTAATTTGCAACGGTCCAGTGGTTAGCATACTGGACGTCAGATCAGGAGGTTGAGCGTTCAAGTGCAGCCAGGGTCATTGTGTTGTGTTCTTGTGCAAGACACTTTACTCTACCCAGGAGTATAAATGGGTATACAGTGGAACCCCGATTTAACGAACCCGATTTAACGAACCACGATTTAACGAAGTCCCCGATTTAACGCACAAATTTATTCAGCCCGGCCAGAATTACAATAAAATGTATGGAAAAGAACCCGATTAAACGAAATACAGAAGATGAATAATCAACTACAGTAAAATATTTTCATTCTCTAAGAAAGTCGTCAGCAGTCCATTACAGTCATACAGTCATACGCGGAAGTGTTGGGGAGTTCAGCGCTATTGAAAGTTAAAGTTTTCTGCACTCAGTTCCATCCAGTAAATGGGTGATTTGCCCATCTGGAGGGCTTATTAAAATTGAAGTTACTTAATAAGGGGGCTTTTAAAATATCTTATTTTCTCTCTCTACTAGTTTAATGAGTATGGTAACTTTGTTATCCACTGTGCTTTCCGGGATTTGAGGCCTGCAGGTATGTTTGATGTACTACTTACTTACTGTGACTTCTAAGACTAGTGAATAATTACTATGTGTAAGTTCCTAATTTTCTTTTCTTGTTACCCTGCTCCAGGCTCAAAGGAGAGGAAGATACCTTACCCGACATCCCACCCGATGACTCAGTTTTAGATTTGTCTCCTGCCCTAACTATACTTATGAGGTGAGCTCCAAATGCAACATAACTGATTTCACAATAGACTGCAAACACTCCTTATTTTAGTGCGAGTTCGTTGGGTGAACGCGGCGACACGAAAAGGATCTGGAACGAGCATCGCCACTTGGCGCCTCTCCATTCTTGCGTCACGCTCTCGAGAGAAAAAGCGCGGGGAAAAAAGAGTGTTCGCACCTCTCTATTCTTGCGTCTCGCTCTCGAGAGAAAAGCGCGGGGAAAAAAGACTGTTCTTCGCCCCTCTCCATTCTTGCGTCATGCTCTAGAGGGAGCAGCGCGGGGAAAAAGACTGTTTAGCAGTCTAGTTTCACAAACGCTTTAATGTATCCTAAGACAAGACACTTCAGTCTTCACAGAGAGAATTATTGGGGAGCCTCGGTAATAATGTGGACAATAACCTGACTGTGATGCACAAGTATCCCATCCAGGGGGAGTGGCAATACTCCTAGCTACAGTAACCGGAGTTATAAACACCAGAAGCTGTGAAGACTTTACCAACGAGTCTAGTGCCTGTAAGATGCCTGTATGTTTTATTTAACGTTTGGTTTCTATCCTTTCTCAGGTGGGAGCTTGGTTGTCCTTTGCTGTGATGACTCAGACATTATCAGGTATATTTACTTACTAGGGAAGTTACGTGTACAGTTCTTTTATAATATTTACGGAATCTGTAAATTTTTCATGTACAGTCGAAGCTCTCTGAGCGGACACTCTCGTAAGCGGACAGCTTTACTTACGGCCGCCTTCAAAACCCCGTTTGAACTCTAGCTCATACAAACTCTGTATTTACACATTCCTGTAAGCGGCCGCTGTACCGTAAGTGGCCGTTTCGAGGCCGGGGTACGATTTGGATCTTTTGTTTCTAAGCTCCTGTAAGCGGACACCTCAAATGGACAATCACATTAGCCTGATAATGAAGTGCTTACAGGTACAAGCTCTCGTAAGCGGCCACTTATCCCTTAAATGGACAAAGTGATTAGTTTCTAATGAAACTGTGGTGCTGCGTCGGCGGGCAAGTGAAACACTATGTTGATTATCAACTCGGAGTTGATAAAGGTAAAGTAACCGCCGTAGCGTTTCGAGCGTTTTCGAGCGTTAGCCCTTCGCTTAGCCCTTCGCTTAGCCTTTGCTCCGACGAAGGGCTAACGCTCGAAACGTCAGCTTTTAGAAATTCGCTACGGCGGTTAATTTACCTTTATCAACTCCGAGTTGATAATCAACATAGTGTTTCACTTATCCCTTATATTGCCAGTGGCCCCTAACGTGAACCATTCCCGTAAGCGGCCAGCGCCAGTTGCGGACACTTTTTCTGCTTCCTGAGGGTGTCCGCTTACGGGAGCTTTGACTGTAACTACATTAATCGGAAAGATGTCTTCAATCCTGTCACCTGTGTAAGATGTGAGGCGCATGGTGGCCTAATGGTTAAGCATGCTGGACTCTGGATCGGGCGGTCCAGGTTCGAGCGCTGGCCAGGGTCATTGTGTTGCGTTCTTTGGCACGACACTCTCACAGTGCTTCTCTCCACCACCCAGGAGTATAAATGGGCACCAGTGAACTGTTAGGGCAACCTGACAAAATGCCAGAGAATGGAGTAGCAATACTCCTAGTCGGCTTCATGCTATAGATAGACTACGAGTGGTCCCTCATTTTTTCTCAGGGTTCACTTCTCGTAGTCTGTTCATGCTATGGAAACTGGAATAAGCTCCGGCAGTGTGGGCTAGTTTGGCTCTAGTGGCGTTACCTTTACTCTTATTTCAATATGTTAACGTATTTCTTTTTTGTTGTTTTATTTGCAGTTGTGCTTTTCGTCTTGGCAGGATTTTACCAAATGTCTGTGTGGGCGATTGGCAAGCATCGCAACTATCGCAAAGAATTTAAAGATTATCCCAAAGGAAGAAAAGCGATTGTTCCTTTTCTGCTTTAAACAGACATGAAAATACTCTCTCGAAACAGTTGAACAGTTGTCAGGTCTTTGCTTGTCTGAATATAAATAAGATCATAGTAAATGGTTTGAACCCAGTAGTATCAGTAGTTCGTCTAGTGTGATCGTCAGGGTGAGTGTAGTCCTGAGAAGACTGGTGTTGGTGACTCACGTTTCGACGACCTGTGAGGAAGTGATCTTCAGAATCATCTGACGAGGATCGACTTCCACACAGGTCGTCGAAACGTGAGTCACCAACAATAGTCTTCTCATGACTACACTCATCCGGACGATCACACAAGACGCACCAAAGAATTTAAGATTACACAAATCTCTTCCCCTGTAGTGTGTGTTGATTGACCCGCCGGTGGGGTGGGGTGGGGGGACTCCCATATAAAAGTGACAGGTGTGATCGTCGTACCTTTTACGTGTTTTAAAAATTTGTGGTTTGGTACCGCTTAGGGTGTGTAATTCTAAAATGACCACCGTTAGAATAGTGTTATACTGGTTCCTTTTAGGGTATTACTCCAAAGAGTGCTAAGTTCAAAACTGATGAAAAAAATCTTGAATTTCATTTTGCAAAATTGTCAAAAACAAACAGTACCACTTGAAAGTACTGCTCAGTAGCTTTCATTTGAATGGTCACACATTAGGGTTTTATCCACAGACTCAAAAGGTACAACCACATTTACTGACTCAAGGTTTGACTCTGGGAGTGAAAGGGTTAAGCTGGAAAAGATGACATGAACTACTTATCAGAGAAAAAGCTATTCAAAGCATGCCTCGTTAAACAGTTTCGTTATATTTCATGGTGAAACTGAATTCGAGCCTCGCCCACAAAACGAGATTCTGGTAGACCGTACTTTTTAGGGTTCCTTTCTAAATTTCCGAAGATCGCCCTGTCACTTTTATATGGCGAGTTCTTCCGGTGATTGAAGGTGTTGCATGGTAATACATGTACGAACTTACCAAACTAGTGTCTACATGCTGTTTCTCGTTTTCAGTTGCGCTATTTTAATTTTTGTAAACAAGTCTTTCTTATAGCATGTTTTGTGATGTAAAAGCTCAACAAGGTCTGTGGAATAAAAATAAAATAACTCTCAGTTGCTGATTTAAAAAAACTACGATCTGCCTGTCTGTCTCTGTCTGTTTGACTGTCTGTCTGTCTATCTGCCTGCCTAGATAGATAGAAGATAGAAAACTTTATTAACGTGTCAATGCCTTATAGCCTGCCTGTCTGTGTCCAGCCCCATCTCTGTTGTCACTCCGTCCCGTTACAACCTCCGCTGTGCCGACGATGCTATTCTACTTTCGCGCGGCATACTATCCAATCAGAAGCCGAGGATAGCTCTCCTTGCTGTACATTTCCACCCTCCTGGGCAATCTTACAAAACTTTTGGTGATTGTGCATTTTAGCCTATATGGTGTGGGGGATAGTGCAAAAAGAAAATGGCGATCGAAGCCCCAGAGCTATTCATAGGCTAATGCCTTTCTGTGAGGTCTTCTGTTTGCCTAGTCTCCTACGCAGCCGTTATTTGGGTCGTAGGATACTGTTTGCCTCACTATACGATAACGGCTCTCTCCTCCGCAGAGGCTCATATATGGGAGAATCAGCTGAACGAAGTGAGTGCAGGCGCGAGAAACCCGGAGAGAGCGACGGCGGGATCGTTGATCCGCTAGTTACTTGCGCCTGCACACACCACGTTCAGCGGATTTCTCCTAAAACCCCATTGAGCCTCTGCGGAGGAGAGAGCGATTACGGAGCTTTTCTCGGTTTCAGTAGCATGAAGCGACTAGGAGTATTGTTACTCCCCCTGGGTGTAATGGTTATTCCCCAGCATTTCTGTCAGTTTTCCCTAACAATTCACCCTTGGTACTAGCCAGCCTTTATACAGGGGGAAAAAAAATCGGCTCGCGGTCAGGACTGGCTGTTGTTTGCAAATAACGTACAGTTGAACCCCGATTAAGCGGTCACCTTTTAAGCGGCCACCCCCGGTTAAGCGGCCAGTTATCAAAGTCCCGAACTTATTGTCAGTATAATACTGTAAATAAAACCCTTATTAAGGTGATTCCTCAGAAATAAAAGTTGTCGAACGATTTTTTTTGAAACTTTCCCTGCCGGAATGTTCCCTGCCAAGCACTCTTTCGAAAAATACAATAAAAAAGATAGGTCACCGTGCTCGCAAAAGAGATATGATGGACCAATTTCACCCCATTTATGCCTGTACTAGTACTAATCACGCGCGTAGTTATTTCATCGGTTCACGTATAACATTTCGCGGTAGCTAGAAGCAAAGTTTAAAGTAATACTTGAAAAAAACTTGATACGTTCAAAGTCTCGACCATATGGAACAATTTGATATATAAGTTGTGGAAAAAATCACACAAATTCAAACGACATCGACTCAAAACGTTCCTCGCATCGATGCTTTCAAGGTCATAACTTACACCCACGAGTAACGGTTTTGTGCACGCTTTTAGCGATATCTTTTTTTTCTTCCGAAAATGTTTTTATTTTATTTTTTCAACTTAAAGAGGATAATTTGAACATCAAAATTATGCAATAAGAAATATAGGTCACCGTGCTCGTTTACGAGAAAACGTTTATTTACCTCCTTCGCGAGCATAGCCAGTACTAGCCACAAAGAAAAAGCCGCCATGTTTTTAATGTGCGCGCGCTAATTCATTCTCGACCCCAGACCTTCGCTGCTTTCTTGACTCATGCGCAAAAGAGAAGGGCTCTGGGGTCGAGATTGGCGCTAATTACGCGCGAAATTATGCGCAGCAAGGATGTGCCTGAGGAATCATCTTAAGCGGCCACCCCTATTAAACGGCCGCGGCCACCTTTTGGCCGTCCCGATGAGGGCTTTCCTATTGTTTTTACCCCGATTAAGCGGCCAATAAGAATCTAATACACGTAGTCTGGCCTTGTTTTGAAAAACCTGATGACAGACAAGAGTCTGAAATAGAAGATGAGGAATGATTAACACATTCAAACAACAGTTGTCACAAGCCTCCAAACTGTGTTGTATTCAAATAAACTAAAAGTGACGTTTATACCACGCCTTATGCTAATTTATGACGAAACTCCGTTTAAGCGGCCAACCCCGATTAAGCGGCCACTTGCCATTTCCCCGAGGGTGACCGCTTAATCGGGGTTCAACTGTATTATCGAATTTCCTGTAGCCTGGGTTCCAAAATATTCGCCCCGAGGTGAACAATAAGCAAAGCGCAACTCGTCCAGCTGAAAGTTACCTTATTATAGGAAATTAACGCTCGTGTTAATTAAGGTATTTGAAATTAACGCGACTTAAATTAACGCGAATTGGAGGGAAAATTAATTCCAAATAAAGGAAATTAACGCGAAAGAGGAGTTAAAATTTCAAAATGAAGGAAATTAACGCGATTACACAAAGAAACAAAGATATTTTGGTCGAAATACAAGAACTCAGATGTCGAGAACTGCTCTTCTGAAAGCGAGGGTGCACTGGAAATATTGTTTTATTGCCTTTTTAGGGTTTTACATTGTAAAAAATTGAAATACATTGTGCAGAAACGAGAACGCTATTGTTTCCTAAGTCTCAAATATGTCTGTACAGGATCCGGAATTTTGGGTTATAATAATGGAAATTAAAATCGCGAAAATTAACGCTGCACAATTAACGCTCACAAAAATTAACGCGACTTAAATTAACGCCAATTTTTAAAATTCGCGTTAATTTTATGGAGCGTTAATTTCCTATAATAAAGTAGTCGCTCGTCGAAACAGGAAAGGCGTACTTGTAGATGTCTGGAGTCGATCTCTATAAACACTCACACCCCATCCCGGTAGGGTGGGGGAGGGAGGGAGGGGATGATCCTTGTGTAGTTTTGCCATTTTCTCTCCCCTCCCCTGAGAAAGGAATGATTGCGCGCAAGCGTGATCACCAGCTGGTAACCGCTGGTTGCGTACGTACCGCACGCGAGGAAGTTGACTTTTATAATAAACACTATGGATGCTCCCAAAGCCATGGAGATCAAGTCTATGAAACTATGTAAGTTGAATTTGGGCTCAGTTCAAATCGGGTCAATGATCAATACCTTTTAACAGCCTGCAATAGCTCTGGTTTTTTGCACTGCTTGTTTTACGCTGCGGCGCGATCGCCTTCAATAATTCGATCTTTCTTAGATAGAAAGAGGAATGCCATCCTCTTTTCTGATTTTTCTACGAAAGATCTGCTAACAGGGCGCAAAATAAGGTACAGTAGAGCCGGTCGGCTCTCGGTAGTCCCGAGTTCAACTCCTCGGCCACGCTTTGTAAATAACCAACTGGACAGCCTCCCACCAGTTGGGATTCTTAACAACTTTATGTTCTATTTACAATATTTGTTTGTTCATTACTTTCATTTACAGCAGTGCTAAATCCTCTGACAAGTCTCAAGTCTCTGCATACTACGCGAACGACTCATTTCGCGACACTTAGGCCCTATTTACATGGAAGGAGGATGATTCTAGTGCTGGGATCATCCTAGCAGGCGGATCATCCTAGCGCGACATGTTTTCTGCTTTCAGTTTACATGCGAA